GGAGACAGATGCAAAAGTCCTGCTGGCCTGGGGCTGGAGACTAGCAATATAGATGCAAGGTAACACAAAGGGCTTTGAGCCTTAAGGGTCTAGGGGAGGTATAATGGAGAAAGCTTATATTCCTCCTGTCTCTAAAGAAACAGAAACTTCCTACAGAGGCTGTGAATGGCAAATAATTACTAATTAGCTGATAGAGAAGAAACCAGATGTTTCTATTGCTATCATCATAGACAAACATCATGACCAAGACAGCTTATAGAAAATGGCATTTAATTGGAGGCTTGGTTACATTTCAGATAGTGAGCCCATGACCATCATGGTGGGAAGCTTGGTGGCAGGCTTGCTTGGCACTGGAGCAGTAGCTGATAGCTCACATCTTATCCATAAGTTGGAGGCAAAGAAAAGGGGGATTTTTGAAACCTCTAAGCCCACCTCCAGTGACACTCCTACTCCAATAGGCCATACTACCTAATCCTTCCCCAAGCACTGCCTCAAAACAGCACCCAAATATAAATGACAAAACTACAGTATATTAATTTTATCTTGTTTGATTGCTGACCAATATCATCACTGTTTCTATCTGCCACCCCTACCATCTGAAGTAGTTTTCTCTGGTGCTTTTTGGAACCATAGCTGCGAGGATTCATTTGGGATCTTAGCTGATTATTAATGGCTGTATTTTTCTTACGACTCCACATAGAGATGGTATGATACCAGGCATGATGACATGTGTCTGTAGGCTGAGTTCAGAATTTATAGTTCATTCTGGCTCATCGAGAAAAATCTCACTTCAAAAGAAAATAATGATCATGGTTGAGATATTAGTTTGAAGATGGAAATAGCTTTATGGTTCCTGAATTGCCCTTAGGAAAGTGGGTGTTGGGTACAGTAGGGCATGCCAGAAATCCCAGCAGCACTTGTAGTTAAACACAAAGACAGGCAGATCTGTGAGTCTGAGGCCAGTCTGTCTACATACAGTGAGTTCCTGGCCAGACTGAAAACAAAAAAACATAATCAATTCTTTTTTAATTGCAGAGCTGGCTGCATCCCTGTGGCGATGCGTCCCAACAGTCCAGCTGCTCAGTACATAGAGCAAAGCTGTCTCTTCCAGCTCAGGGGTTGGAAGCTAGACTGTGCAAAATGGCAAGAGTCCATTGAAACTTCCAGGTCAAAAACCAAACAATTACAATTCTTCAACATGATTTTTTAAAATCAGGAATCTTAAGCCATTATATCTCTTAGCTTTTCACTGGCTAGGACTGACATCTTTCCTTACTGAGCCCAACTACTCTTCCTTTTAAAAATATTCCTCATATGCCAAATGCATTTCCACAGACAATTTGCATTTTTGTTTAACTCTTGCTAAAACCTTCTATGATTCACAATTATCAAATTCTTTAACTAGCACTCAAAATATCCATCTCCAATATACAGTAGAAGAGAGCAATGGGAAGGTCACAGACAAAGTGACACAACTGAGCTGAGTTAACTGGGCAAAGAGAAAAGGGAGGAAGGAGGAGGGAAGGGGTGGAAATAACAAGATAACTGTGTGTGTGTGTGTTTGGTGAGGAGCGGGGTGGTGGTGACAGGAATGAAGAGAGAGAAGTTACAGGCCTCACATCACAGAGAACTTGGAATGCCATGCGGAATACAGATTCTTCTCCTGAGATAACAGCTGAAATGCAAAGGCATTTAAGAAACAACCAAAGAGAATTTAAGTCTCCACTTGGTAGCTGCCTGGGAAACAGTGAGGCCGGATTATCGCAGCCAGGGTCCTTATCTCAAAGTGAACTTTTCCTCCTTCACATAAAGAATTGTATCTCATACCACACATCTAGAATGGTCCTGCAGCAGCACGTGACAATCTAAATGTTCATTAGTTATTCTGCTTGGACATCCAAAATAGCCTAGTACACAAACTAAGTCAGCACGTACTCTTGCAGGTTGACATCTCTTCTGGGCATCACCACAGCGAAGCCAAAAATGTGAGGTCAGTGGGATGGCAGGAGCCCAAACATCACTCCTCCTCTATTTCTGGGTATGGGGTAAAGAAGGGAAACTGCTCTCTACAAAAGTGGAGAGGATTCTTCCTGAGTTATCAGGAAAGCTGATAACTCAGGTTTTTTTTTTGTCGAGGTTGAGTCTATATTTGGATAACATTTATTATTTTCTTATTGTATGACTTGTACATTTACCTGTGGTCTTTTAGTACTCTATGAT